ATATAAAAAGCACAATAGATAAAACAAATGCAAAAAATAATAGCCATAGAACCCTTAATATATAATCAGCATATGTCACTTAACCCTTTCGCGCCGACTGTCACAAATACGTGCCAGAATAAAACCGTATCAATCAGGGTAAAAAGATAAAACTGGTAATCAAAGTATTTCTTTAGCAGTTTATTTGTGGTCGCAGTTATAATTGCTTGATTTATTTAATTCACCAATACTTTGTTCAAAATAAAAGTATTTAGTTTTACTTAGAATTAACATTGAGTATATATATGATTAAACTAACAATAATTAAAGTCAAAGCAAAGTAAGTCTGTCAAATTTGAAACGACTACATTTAAGTTACCGTTTTTCATTTAATTACAATTTGATTCTGATTTTGTACGAATGCTTTTCTGAATCACCCGTCCCCAAAGGGTTAAACTAAAGAAGCTACTGTATACAGCAATGATCCGCCCAGTACTTAACTATGCCTCACCTGCCTGGACAACGATACCTCAACATCTACCGAAGAAATTAAACCAGTTCCAAAACAACAAAAATACAATTCTGAACAACTCCAAAAGCAAACAAACACAGTTTAGAGCAAGCAGTTCATTTTATTTTCTTATTCCTTTTTATTTATTCAAGCAAAGTGCTTGAAACATTCATAAAAGCAACTACACTGCCTGCTTACCTCAATGCTCAACCAAAACAGTGTTAAAATTCCAGATGAATGGGATAAGGGTCGCTTCGCGGCCTAGGTGCCCAATAAAATCAAAACACTAGGACTAGGATAGATCAGTCGTGTTGAGTCTTTTAAAAAATTGACAAAATTAATTGAAAAACTTCATATTTTTATTTGTAGTTCTTTACCGTTTTTTAAAATATTATGTCGCATCTGGAGCAGTTGGCATCTCCGGCTAAGGTTTTGCCTCACTAAGATTTAAAACGAGAAATTGTTGTTTTGCTGTGGTCTAACACAGAACAGCAAACTTATCCGGCGAATTCAATTTTTGAGTTAAGTCTATAAAGTCTAAATACTTCAAAGTTATATATAAAGAATCTAACAGGCAAGCAGTTTTCTCTTTAAATGATGGCAGAATTTTAAGAATTTTTGCTTTCTTTATTACTTAACAACCACTTTAAAAAAATGTACACAGCTAGAACTTCTGGGTCAGCAGACCTAGTTAACATTATATAAAAAAATGAAAAATATTGAGTTATGCACTTTTAGCTCTTTATATATGGTATATAAGAAATGTAAAATTTTATAGGAATGTAACAATTATTGCCCACAATATTTTGGCCGATTTCATACAGGCATGTAAACATCTAACTTATTAATTTAATTTTATAGGCTTTACTATCTCAACTGCCGAATGCCCTGCTGACAATGATAAAGACTGGTCTTACGATAATAGTTCGTCTAATGGTAAGATATTTATTTACTAATAAAGCGTCGTCTCTTAATCTTCAAAAATCTCAACATACTATATTTGAAGTGTTTACGGTAGTATAATGATAGGCCACATTTCCAAAGTTTCCTAGGAACGTTTTTCGTAAAAAGAAACACTACGATTTCCATTTAAGGAATAAGATGTTTCAGATATTGTTATTTAAATGAAATTCTTAAAACTTTATAGAAAATTACAAACTAGAAACAATACTAAAATAGTGTAATGTAATGTTATCTTCTCCTAAGAACATGGCCTATTGCTATTTTACCTCTAGCCTTTCATTGCATTTTTTTCTGTCCAATCTAGATCACTTTTATTCACATTCAACTTTACGAAAATTACTATAATCGAAGTTCAATAATCCAAAAAATTTTAAGAGTTAGGAATATTGAGAACTTGTTTTTTCCGGAAAAAAATTCAAGTTAAAGGTAACGCACGTGGGGGAAAAAATTCTTTGACATACTTGATATTTATTTCGGCTTTGCCAGAAGATTTATTTTTATTTAATGCTGTGGCAAAATTTGTATAGTGTAATTTTGTTCCTCCTTAAATAAATACAGTTTAAAATGATCTTGGTTACCATAACATTTGAATACTTAAAACATTTAGATGGTAGGCTAGCTAGTTCTCTGAATGTCGTTTTATTTGTTAGAAAAATTTTAACGAAAGACCAAAATACAATCTCATTTTAATAGGCTTTACCCTACCACTGGGAAAATATTTTTTTGAAAAAGAATTTAAACTGGCAGGTATGCTTTGGAAACTTTTTAAAGCTCAAGTGGAAGCTAATTTTAAAAAATCTTTAGAAATCTTAAGAAAGTTCAGCTTATTGAATTTTTTCAGGTAGTAACAACCTTAACACGTTGAATGCCATATAGGTCAACGGTGACCAGCTCTGAGTTTGTTCGTAGCGCCACAGAGGTGACCGGTGAAGCCAAGATTATTAGAAACACATAATTCGAGTACACTTTTAATTTTTTTATATTATTATAGTTACCATAATGGTTTGAAAAAATGAATGCAATAAAGAACACACAAAAATAGTTTTATTTTTATACACAGCGATGTCAACTTGCACCAGACAGCGAATAAAAATTTTCAAGTGATAGTTTTTCAATTGTGATTCTTAATTTAATAAATTTAATTTAGAAGATTTTTATCCACCACTATTTCTAAACAATTCGTAGACACCAATTTTTTCAGATAAGTCATGCTCTTCTTTTTTTTTTCTTTCTTTTCTTCCAGACGTGGACACGTACTAGAGTTGGCCGTTGATTACAGTAATCGATTACAGATAATTACAGCTATGTAATCAATTACTTGTAATCACGATTACAAGTAATCAATTACTTGTAATCGTGATTACAACTTTCAAAAAATTTTGATTACAGCTGTAATCATGATTACAATTTTGATTACAGTAATCAATTACTTGTAATCA